AGTATCGTACTACCGTGCCCCAAACTTAAATGCGGTGAATCTCAGCGACATAATTTATTGATTAAGAGGTTGAGACATTAAATTTAAAATTTAAATTTTGAATTTTGAATTAAACATGAAAGGATTTAAAAATTAAAAAAAATAAATTTTTTTTGCTTATATAAGAAAATAATTTTTGTGTAATTATTTTATTTTATTTTTTATGTAATTTGATATATTATTTAAATAATTAATTTTTTTAATTTATATAAAATTTATGATATTAAATATATTTATTAATTTAATAATAAATAAAAATTATATAAAAATAATATAAAAAAATTATTTCTATAACATCACATAATATATAATTCATAATTAATCAAATGTATCCAACAAAACTTTGGTGCGATGTCGACGCGCTAGTTGAACCTGGTGCCGAACTAGGTGCGTGTATGGAGCATCTGCCTGTTTGATTACGGCAATAATTTTAACATTACGATATTTTAGTTGTTATCAATTTTATGAAATTATTTAAATATTTTAATAAATTTTTTTACATATTAATTTATTTAAAAAATATTTTAATTTTTAATTTTTAATTTTTAACATTTTAGTTGTTAAAATATGTTATTTTTTAATCTCTTGATTTAATACTTTATTAATATACAAAAAATTGTATATTAGTCCTATAACTTATTTTTAGTTTTCTATTGAAGTTAAAAAATAATCCTGCAACCTAAAAGTTAAAAATTTAGTTACTTAAAGTTATTTCATTTTAATAAATTAATTGAGAAATTGAGTTAAATAACATATTTTGAGAAAAAAGGGTGATTTTAATATTTTATGTGTGTATTTATTGAAATGATATTTGTTATTTTTTTAGCCTTTAAACTCTTAACTTTGTACTACTAACAGATAGATCATAGAACCAACAACTAATACAATATTCTTTAATAATATAATCAAATAATAATTAATCTAGTTATTATCCTCTGACTTATGTTTTTTTTATAAAGGACAAAGAGCTATTTTTATACACGTGAGAAAGGTTTTCGGATAGGTATAAAAAAATTATTGACTATATTTATTTTATGCACATTACCATATCAAAATTAATATTTTAAAAGCACATTTTTTGAATTTTTCAAAACTTTCTTGGAATTACTAAAATTTAAAATATAAAGTTGCTAATAATTAATAAATTCCGCCACACATGACTTTTATCGTTTTTGCGAACAGTATCTTTTTAATAGATATGGAAAATCTAACAAAGGACAAAAAGAAGACATGAATAACAAGGGAATCATTGATAAAAATAATAATAATAAATAAATGAATAAAAATAAAAACAAAAGGGCATCCCGTGCTACTGACGCTCTAAAACATGCGCGTGCGCGGGGGTACTTGCATCCAAACTGATGAAATGCAAGAAAAGGGCTTATTGGCGGACACGTGTTGGGTGATGGTTGGTGCATCCAAAAAGTGTTTGATGCTTGTAGTTGTCATCATCTTGCACGGTACACCCCAGCTTTCTTACTGGTTCCCAGGATAAAGTTTTTCAACAGTATCTGTCCCCGTTTCTTTATGCCTCAATCCTAACTAAATTCAAAGACACCCCGTTTGAATTAGTGTAACAACCACGTCTGATCTACAAATAAAAATAGAAAGCTAGGGAGAAATTTGTATTTTGGAAAAATTAAAATAAATTATTTATTATTTAATAATGATGTTATCATACTTTAAAATTTTATTTATTATCTAAACACTTTTTAATAAAAAATTGATGTGTTATGATATCATAAGTTAAATAATAAATAACTTATTTTAATCGATAATTTTAAAAAATAATTTATTTTTTTAACGTAAATTTATCTTTATCTTCTCATTTGAAGGGCAAATTTAGGGCTTTTGCCATTTGAATTTGTGAGTGTTGTATTGCAACGTAATTTATTTTGTATAAATTATATTATTTTTAATAATTATTAGTGAAGGAATGAGTTTAAAATTATTTTTTTTTATCAATAATTATAAAAATTATAGTTCACATAGAGCAAGCGACATGCACGTATTGCACTTTAATTTTCTATTTAAATTTATCCCCCATTAAAAGAAAAAAAAATTTTTTTGCCACACATAATTTGAGAATAATCAACAATTTTAAATGATATGGTACGTAGTAACTTTATTACGATGAAAGTGAGAGTTTTTACTATGAATTTTTATAATATCTAAATAAAATAGATTAAAAAATAGAAGAGTGATGCCTTTAATTATACAAATTCAAATAAAATTATTACATTAAGGAAGATTACTAAATTCTACTATGTTGAATCCCTCTTCTTTCTATATTTTATTCTATTTCTATAAAATTTTTGAAAGAAATTTTGACAAAAACGCAACGGCTTGAATGGTACACATTTCTAAATGATTTGAGAAATGACTAATCATTGATATTACATTTTTTCAATACAATGACATTAAGAAATTCATACTATCTTGACAACATATTATAAAGAGATCAAATTATCAATAAAATAAAATTACATAAACTAGTCTCTTGTATTGTAAAATTAAATGGAAGTATCGTCCCAACCAAATGTTTCGATCGACATCATACTTTAGGGTTGTGATGCAAAGGTGATTAAGTGCTCATTCCACACTTTTTTTTTTTTTTAAACCATTTGTTGTAAAAATGAAACAAAAAGGTTACAAATTGTTGTTAAATCATGAAATTAGATTTCAAAGAAGTAGAAGTTCAAATTATGAGTATGTATTATTAAAACTTCTAGAGAATAAAATTAATACACTAAACACAATTACTTTAATAAAAATTCATTAAATTTAGCTAAGACAAACATGCCTTAAATTAATAGTAATATTATTTCCACACATTGAACTTACTACTATAATATTATTACTATGAATATATTAGCGTTATTAATTGAATTGAAGACAATAACTTAATATTATAATTAACCAAAGTAAATAACAACACAGATTAATTAATGACCATTAAAAAATAACACAGATTAATTAATATGGTTACTATAGTCACTAGGATTCATTCAACCTATACTATTTACAAGTTTTAAATAACAAATTAAAAAATCATAAAAATTTAAAAGTTGAAAGTAAAGAAAGGAGTAAAGTCTTTTTGACTTTCTTCTCCTTTTTCCATTTCAAGTCTCAGACCAGCCACCCTTCTTTTCTATTTCAGCACTTGCCCATAAGCATTTTTTAATTAATTTTTTTATATACTTTTATTAGTTTTTAAAGTGTTTTTTTGTATCATATATTATTAGGATATAAATTAAAAGTATATTAATTATATATTTTTGTTAATTATTATAAAAAATTAAAAATTAATTTTAATTTTATTAATTATTTAATTAAAATCATACAAATAACATCAATATTAATAATAAAATTAACTATTTAATTAAAATTATATGCGTGATATCAATATTGATAATAAAATTAATTTTTATAATTTTTTATACAAATTTATTAAAAAAAATACAATTAATACATTTTTAATACTTCACTTTACAACTTTAAAACATAATTTTGGAAAAACCAAAAACTGAAACACATAGCAACGCAGCACTACTATAAACAAATCCATAACCATAACTGATTACTAATCCCCAAAACCCGAATTAATTAATCTCTTTAGTTCTACTTCTAATCTCAACTATATTACCATTTTTGAGATAACACCGTACTGAATTTACATCTAGGCCCGAATTCACGGGGCTTTTGCAGTTTATTCAAACGGGGGCATAGATGTCATTTCGTAGTACTAAACCGGTTTATTTAATTCTTAACCCCATTATTTTAGGGGATTTATGCTGTGTTTGGCGCGTATATAAACGAACAGAAATTCACAGACAGCGGAAGCAAGAGAAAGATCAAACAGCAATCGGCTCACAGCGAGAAAGGGAGAGAAAGTGAGAGAAAGTTTAGGAAAAATTTAGAGCGAACCCGCGACGGGAAAAAAGGAAAAATCAGAAAACCTAGAAACAGCAGACAAACAGTGTGTGTTTGTTGTGGGTATTATTTATGTGTGTGAGTGTAAGAGAGAGGACTGGGTTTGGCGTCTCTGTCTGAAAACTCGCGCACGCTCGTACGAAAGCCCTTTGTATTTGATCGGAGACGTCTGTCATTGTGATTCCGGGAGATTGCAATCGGGGGAGTTTGGTGCTGGTACCTGCAGTGGATGGAGCGTGGCGCAGAGTCCGATCCGTCACCGGAATGGACGGCGCCGGGGCCGGAAACAGGGCTTGAAGGTAACGTGAATCCCTTCTAATCACGCTGCATTTTGATTGAAGACTGAAATTATTTCTGTTTTGATTGATGGGATTTTGATTTGGTTCGGTTTTGGATTGGATTGTGGATTGTGGAATGTGAATGTGATGTTTTGAAATGCAGAGCCTGTTTGGGGCTTGGGATTGGGCGGAGATGAGGTGTCGTACCCTGAGCGGCCTGACAAGGACGATTGTAACCACTATTTGAGGACGGGGTATTGCGGGTACGGGTCCAGCTGTCGGTATAATCATCCACCCGACCGTGCAGTGGTAATTTGGTTGAAATTTCGCCTTCTTTCAGTCTGAATTGATGATTCGTTGATGGGTTTTGATTATTTTCTCTAGTGATCATGGTTTTCTGTTCATGGGTTTGTGAAATTTGAAGTTTTTTGATATGCTGTTTTGAATTCTAGGGCAATAGTGAAGAATTTGTGCACTCTCTGGGTTTTGTAAATAAGATCGGTGCAATTGATTCTGGTTATTGAAAATTTGATTCTCATTGTCTGACATTGATAGATGCTTGTGCCTAGGTCATGGGAGCTGCAAGACCTGGTGCAGGGGAGTTCCCTGAGCGAGTGGGCCAGCCCATCTGTCAGGTACTAGATTAAGTTGTTTCAGATATACTGACGGCTGGAGTGAGCTTGTGCAGGAGCTTGAAGAGTATTTTGCATCTGCTAAATTCTTCAAGATATCTTTATTTCATCTCATGATATGTGTTACCATGTTAGAAGCTGGTGAAATTTGTTCAGTTGGTGCATTTTGTCTCAGTTTGACAATCAATGAAATTGTTAAGTTTGCATTCTTTTGTTTGTTTGTTGATTTGCAGTATTATATGAGGACAGGAACTTGTAAGTATGGTGCTTCCTGTAAGTTCCACCACCCTAGGCAGGGAGGTGGCTCTGTTAGTCCTGTGACACTAAATCATTACGGATACCCCTTACGTCCGGTTTGTACATTTAGCTATCTCTTCTTATTATTGTTATTATTATTTATACTGAATTCACATCTGCTCCATGTATGGTTAAGCACGCTTAAAAATTGAGTTCATCCCAATTACAGGGTGAAAAAGAGTGTTCTTACTTTGTGAAGACTGGCCGGTGCAAGTTTGGTGAAACGTGTAAATTCCATCATCCTATACTAGCAAACATACCAGTGCCTTCTCCGGCTCCTCAAGTTGCACACATTCCTTCACCAGTAACTCCATCTGCATTATACCCACCACTGCAATCACCGTCTGGTCCTTCCTCTCAACAATATGGAGTAGTATTGGCAAGGCCTTCTCTGCTGCCAGGTTCATATGTTCAAGGCCCATATCATATGTTGGTCACCCCTGGTGTTGTTCCTGTGCCGGGCTGGAGTCCTTACCCGGTAGGTCAATTAAAGCTTCATGAACTCAGCATTAAGTCAAAAGTATATCAAGTTATTAACATTTTTTTTATTGAAATATGCACCTGATGCAGGCACCAGTTAGTCCTGGTACGCAACCAACTGTTGGATCAAGCTCAATGTATGGAATGCCACCCTTATCTCCTACAGCACATGCCTATACCGGAGGTTTCCAATTTTTACCTCCTAGTGTTGGTTCTTCTAGTAGCAGCCAAAAGGAATCATCATTTCCAGAGAGACCAGGCCAACCAGACTGTCCGTATTACATGAAAAATGGTGATTGTAAATTTGGATCCTCATGTAGATACCATCATCCGCCAGAGGTGATCGCACCAAGGACAAATGTTGTTCTCAGCTCCATAGGTCTTCCTATTCGTCCAGTAAGCCAAACAATTTTTTCTATCTGATGCTTTAAATGAGATTGCAGGTCTTGAATTTGTTTTTATATTTAGAACTTTCAAATGGCTGAGTGAATCAAATTAAGTTTTTGTGCTTAGTTGCTTTACTAGATTAGCTACAGAACATGATTTGTGTGCCTTTATGTGCTTGTTTCTAACATTTTCACAACTTTAAGTCTTGGTAATCAACCTTGTGAATTGATTCAGCAGTTACAATTGGTTTTCTGTTGTGTGAACATTTCTTGAGAAATTTAACATGCTATTTATACATTTTCTGAATCTTGCTTTTTTAGCTTCTTATCTTTTAATTTTATTGTCCATACCATACCATATGTTTCTTACAAGATTGTTCCCAAGATTTGAATCTATTAATGTTTGTTTGGGTGCTATGTTTGTGTTCCACTTTGCAACAAAAGCTAATACAATTGATGCAATTTGATGCTCCAAGATTTGAATCTATTAATGTCACACTACTGACTTCTTCAATCCTGCATCCAATGCTTATTTTCCACTTGTTCAATCTTTTCATTTAGGTTGGCCAAAAAAACACTCTCTTCATTTTAGGTCTTCCTGGTAAATAAGTTATTTAACATCTCATATATTCATTCCCTTTTTTTACTGATTATCAGGGTGCACCTCCTTGTGCTCATTATGCACAACGTGGTGTATGCAAGTTTGGGCATGCATGTAGATTTGATCATTCTATGGGAATGTTAAATTACAGTCCATCTGCATCTTCCCTTGCTGATATGCCAGTTGCACCCTACCCTGTGGGATCTTCAATTGGTACTCTGGCACCATCGTCCTCATCTTCAGAGTTGCGGTCAGAACTTGCTACAGGATCCAGCAGGGACTCTGCTTCGACCAGAACGTCCTCATCAGTGAGCACATCTAGTGAATCAGTTGGTTCATTGCTTTCCAAAACTGGACCTGTTCCTCAGTCAGGTACACAAGAGTCTGCTCAGGGTTCTGCTCCTATTGGCAATGTTGGCGGCAGCAGCAGCAGCAGCAGCGCTGAGGCACCTACTTCAAACTGAGAGATACAGTGGAGCAAATGCCTTGATCTTCTTTTTTGATCAAGGTCATGAACAAAAACACTTATTTTTTTTTTGTGAGAGTCTTTAAAATAGGAGGCTTCATTTCTGTTTTCATAGTTCCACGATTCAGGTCTAGCACACATTAGCTCTGATCATCTCTGTTTTCATATAGTCTTCAAAAGGCCATCATTTAATCTTGAATAAGCCCATGGCCAACCCTAAAAAGTTTTAGCAAACTTCCACACACCCACTTTGCTTTCAAATAACCATGAAAGTATCTGCAGCTAAATTAGGAAAGTCCGCGTCTTACCCATCCCATTTTTGGAGTCTGTTGTGTATGTTTTTGTGCCAATCTCTATTTCAGAGAAAATATCAGTCCTACAGGTTTCTTCATCTGAACATCAACTGTATTCATGTCTCCCATTTTGAAGTTAGGTCTGGGAACAAGGTTTCCTACTCAATCTAGACAGACACTTGAAGGTATGTTCTTGTTCCCCACTTTTTTACTGGGGTTTATTGTTAAAGGAACTCCATGGAGTCATTTAGTATGATACAATATATGGGATTAGATACAGAATTATGTTGTGACATTTGAATGCTTGCCATGGTTAGATAAATTATTATGATATACAAATATTTATGAGAATTACTCTTGATTAAGTTGGTGTCACCTCTATTATTTGTTGCCACCTTGACTATTTGACTCTGGTAATTTTAAGGCAAGAAAGTGGCTTTTGGATCTGATTATTGCTTATTTAAAAGTGATTTATCTTGGAAAAATGATCAGATTTGGAGCTGAAAACATCATGATGCAACATGGACTATAGAAAATCTTCTGATTTTGACTTCGCCTTTTTCTTTTTTCCTGAGCTTTCTTTTGCTTTACACTTCTAGTCTTGGAATCCAATTTCTTTTCTATTCCAGGCTGAGTTTTGTCTTGGATATTTCTTCATCATTCGGTCAGTGTTATGATTTTTAAAGATCATCTTGGACACTTTTAACTAGATTTTATGGCATTATATATAAAGATTGATTATAATCAAAACCAAGAAGGGAATGCAATTAAAGAAACAGGCGGTGCTTGCATGTAGGCTCGAGACACGTTAACCATTTAAATAAAAAATAAAAAATTAAACAGTGTTGGCGAGCATACGGTAAACCAAGAAGGGAATGCAATCAAAGAAACAGGTGGCGCTTGCATTGCATGTAGGGTCGAGACACTCTAACCACTGACATAACAAAATAAAAAATGAAACATTATTGGCGAGCATACGGTAAGACAACAAGTGCTTGGAAGTATTGCATCTGCACGTGCGGCATTCTTTTTTCTGTGTTGAAAGTAGAAGACAGACTCTAGGGTCATTGAGGAAAAGGGTGAGAGACGAACATAATGCAGTCTAAACATTAATTCTTTTTCTTTTTACTAAGAATTACAAGTAATTCTATCGCCAAATAACATAGTTGATAGCTAATTCTCTTAGTCATGACCGATGACTCGTCACTACATAATCACAAATCTGTTGCTATGCTATTATTCTTCAAACAATTTATCTCAAAGACGTTAAGCACATTCTTTCCACGTCTCTTTCTGGTTCAAAATACAGCGAAAGAGAGGAGAAACGAAAACCCCAAATCTAAAAACCGAAAGATGCATTTGTCCCTTGGCGGTAGTTAAGAGCCGGCGCGAGTGAGTCTCTAAGTTTCGTTTCGGGTTCGAATGTGAGGATTGGCATATCAATTTCAGGCATACCAAAAAATTATTTTTTTAAAAAAAAAACAACAACAAAAAAAATACATTTCAAAAGAGTGAATGCCCCAAATCAACTACATCACCGTAAGAAAGAGAAGGAATTGAAGTCTAGCCACTGCTGGAGTTTTCATCAAATGGGTAAAAAATGCACCCATCTTCCTCCCTCATCAATGAAGTTGGGTTGTTGAACATGACAGAAAGTTCATCAGAGTTCAGTCCTCCCCATGATTGCTGCTCACTCCAAAAACCCTGAAAATTCATTTCATCAAAGGTGGGAAACTCCACATTGCTGTACTTTGGCTGGTTATCATCATTCTCTAAGGGAAGGTGATAGTTTTTAGATTGTGATTGATTTTCATTGGAGTTCTTGTTCATGGAAATGGAAGAAGTATCAGGAGGAGGTCTCAAGCAGTTACCAGGGACAATGCAGGCTAGGTATCCTGAATTTGCATCGTTTTCAGCACTAGAGAGGAAGAAGCTAGTATGATCATCAACTGACCCACATGGGGTTTGATCAGCTGATGTGTCCTTGTTTTGTTGGACAATGGTGTTGACATGGCACATTTCAGGTTGAGGTGGACTACCATGATTGGTACTACTCTGTTCAGCCAGAGTGCCAGCAGTAGTAAGACTCTGTGATTTGGGCAGAAGGGTTTGGATATCAAAAGGAGAAATAAGGGAATGGAAATTAGTAATGTTAGAGTAAACAAAGTTTGTTCTTGCTTGGGTGCCTTTCATGGAGAGTGCAGCTCTGTCATAAGCCAGAGCAGCTTCATAGGCAGTGTCAAAGGTGCCAAGCCAGTGCCTTTCTTTAGTTGTTGGGTCTCTGATCTCCGCTGCATACCGCCCCCACGGCCGCCTTCTCACCCCCAAGAACCTCCCTGGCTCTGCCTGCTTTCTCCTTCCTCTCCTTTCACCAGACTGTGGTGGGGATGTGTTGCGCTGAAGGAGAGTAAAACCTGATTCAGTCTGCACAGCTGCTAATTCATATCCAATGGACATTTCGTAGGTTTCAGAAGTTGCCATTGTAGGAAGAAAAGATAGTGCTGCGGAAGGGAATTAGAGGAAGGAGGAGGAAGAGAAGAAGGTGATGGATTTGAAGGAGGGGAGTGTGAGTAAGGCTTTTAAAGGAGAACATGGGAGTGAAATGAAAGGAAAAGGACAATATATTGCAGTTGTCATCCTCTAGAAACCATCCTATCCAACCTTTTCTAGCTACCTTATTATTATTTTTTCTTTTGTTAATTTCTTTTGGATTTGACTTAACTGTAATTATTGTAAAACTTTTATCCTAAACTTATCGTTTTAGTACTGCAAACTCATTCATCTTTACCTTACTGACTACATTAAAAATCACTAAAATTTTAACTAAATATTGTGGTTATGATTAGAATTAGTGTTACATGTTACTATAGTGATGTAAATATTGCATCACATCAATGTAAGCGATTACCGGGATTAATTAAATTAAGACTAAAAGATTAAATTCACTAAACATGGTCAAGTCACGTGTAACTAGGTTAATGATCAATAGCTAATCTACCTAAACATGATAAGACACCTTCTAGCTCCTTCAGCCATGGAAAAAAAAAAAAGTTTATATTGAATAATTGAGAATGTCAAATTTAGATTATCAGTAGTATTAAATAAAGACTATGATTGAGTGTTTTGGAAACAATGGTAGGATTAAAATCTAATCTTACAGATAAACCAGCTGCAGAATTTTTACCTCCAAACTCCTAGAGAGTCTAAAGCATTTGAATTTTCGAGTTGCGATTCATGTTAGTTCTAATAATTAGTATAAATCTCAATTAAATCCGCATTTTGAGCCCAGAGAAAAAAAATTAATCAAATTACTTTAGGGAAGTTCTCAATTTGTCTGCTTCATCAAATTTTCAAAGGGAGTAGTTAAGATTTGGGTAAAAATGATCTGTTACTAGGACACAAAGTCTCTGAGAATTTAAGGTTTTGAATTTCTTGAAGGCTCCAATGTCCTCTTCATAAATGGTTCATAAGTCAAAAGTGTTTGTTCTGTTTCTGTTTGTCATTGTCTGATGAGCTATATAGCTCATTGTTCTTTGTTAGCACAATTCTAATAAGAGGCATTAGTTTTGCCTTATATGCATAATTTTTTTTTTTTTATATAGAGTATGATATAATAATTATACGTAGATAACGAGACTTAAATACAATACAAAATCAATAATTATACATAAATTCAGTACAAAATTCAAGAAAAACTTCGAAAAACCCATCAATTATAAGATTCGACTTATTCTAAACCAATGGACTGAAAGTCTCGGTGTCACCATATATGGATAGCTTTAGAAGGTTGGTTATGTTAAACTTTGAGGCCTTCAATATTTGATGCTTTCCTTTTTTCAATCTTATGATTGCAAAAATACATATGCAATTCAACCCCTTAATGAACCACTTTTTAAGGTTCAAAAGAGGTATTAGAAAGTGAATCTAGAGGAAAATGAAAAATTAATCGGTAATCTACTTAATTACGCATAGAGATGGTGGGACAACATAATTCTACACATTTTGAAGCTTTCTTGCAAACTGTCTTTTCTTTCAAGAAAAAAATGTAAAGCAAAATTCAATTATGGCTCAAAAAGAGAGATGAAAAGATTAAGACCGTTAGATCAAACAACCTTTTGTTTTTATTTTGTCCCTCCATATTCCCCCCTAAGGCAGAATTTTGAAGAAACATCAAAACATGAGTTCTCTGTTTCTGATCTCAATTCTCATAAATCAAGAATTAAAAGGCTACAGTCAAAAGGCCAAAAGGGTAATCAAAAGCTTGGACAACAATTTGTAAAAGCTGGATTAAACTGCCCAAACAAAAGAAGTAAGTGGGGCAATGGTACATTTAATTAAAGGGACTTTCTAATATATGCCTTGCATTTATTGTTCTTTTTTACTATTAATTTGTACAAAAAAATTAAAAAAATAAAATTTATTTTTAACATTAGTACCACATGAAATAATTTAATTAAACAATTAACAAAACTTAAGCAAGCTTTAATTTTTTCCAAGCAAATTAATAATGAAATGGTGTAATAATTATACTATTAATTTATGCCATAAAAGCACATAGTAAAAAAATTCCTTAATTAAAAGTTCCAACAGAGAAGTGCAAAAATGATACTATAATTTTCATATTTTTCACTAACCCCCCTCACATGCCTTAATGGCATTGGGAATGACACCAACCATCATCATCAAAAGTAGGTCAACCTATTTTTCTTTATTTTCCGCATTTTAATTCCAAAAATGCTTTTCCATTAATTATCATTAGTTTTATATAGTGGACTGATCCTTGCTAGATAATGAAGAAATTAGTAGAACCAAAATAAATAAATGAGGGAGAGAATGAAACTTGACCAAGTTCAATTACTACTATGGAATCCAGGAGATGAGAGTTTTTGAAATTGATTGATTAATTAACCATTTTCGTTTTTTTTAAGAATGAGATTAGATCTGGAGACAAAATCTATCCATGACCCACACTTGACTCTTCCACTTAAGATTTGAAGAAGAAAAAGCATAGAATTAGCTTCATTTGATCCTTTCTCTAAGTAGAGGAACTTGGGTGATGGGATCATAATATTCTCGTGGACCAAAACAGAAACTTGTGGTCGAAGGACAGAGAAAAAGATCACATAATAAAAAAACAATCCAAAGGAAAAAGCATACTTTCTTCCTCATTTTCTGGATTAGACCAAAAAGATGAAGAAATTAAAAAACCCCACAACAACTTGCAAATGAAAAAGCAGAAGAAACCACATATGCATTTATACACAAATGCGCCTTCCTTTGCATGAAGGTTTTCCCTTTTGGGGCTTTACCATAATTCAATGTTGTGAAAGTTAGTATTACACATTTGATTTGATAGGGGGTAACATAATAACATTTTGACACATAAGCAATTAATATTTAGATTGATAAATTCTATTGTCAATGACAGATTCTTTATGAATGATGAGCACTCTAATACAAATTGTCATGGTGAAATGTTAAATTATGAGTTTGTGATGGGATGGGATCATTATAAAAGATTGTCATGTGGAAGGGGGATGAATCAAAAGGTTAGTCAAGGGATGAAGAGAAGAACCTTGTGAAAAGGTGTGAGAATGCAAGGCAATTAAAGCGTACAAGTGTTTGGTACCTTAAAATGTAATAAAAACATTGCAATGTAGGCCACCCTTCCCTTTGCATTCTGTCCTCCTTTCTTTCATATTATTACATTTTCTTGCTAATCAAAGGATTTTTGTTTTGTTTTGTTTTTTGGGTCAAATATAGATTGTGGCATTGTGCGCCCACTTTTGTTTTTGTAGTGATGAAGGTCGCCCAGGATTTAGGGAAAATAATGAGGGTGCAGTTTGAACGTTGACAAAGTAAAAAGGAATTATGGTTTTCGCAGCAAATTTTTCATGAAAATTATGTTAAAAAATTAGGAGATTCAATTACATCATTTATTGATTGATCAGTCAATCACTAATGCAATTAAATCTTCTAATTCGCTAACAAATTGAACTTTTTATCTTGATTTTGTCCTCCCACATTTTAGGTAAATAAAGTAGGCTAATACATATAAGGAATTTTCTAAGGGTACATGTTAAGTTTATTTTTTTTATTATAAATGTATATAAAAAGATATAAAAGTTTATATTACTTTTAATATTATGTAAATTTAATTAAACAGTTGATATATTAAAAATTGATTTTTATTTTTTCAATATAAACTTATAATAAAAATATGTATTTAATTCACCATTAACCTATGTCCAATATATAATAAAAAATATATTTAATACATTTTTAACTTATGCTCTTAAAAGTATATGTTAGACAAATCTATATATTAGAGACATTGAAAAATGTTAAATTGATGGAATTGGAAAAAATCATGTATAATGATAGTGAAGATTTAAGAGTAATTATCGTCTAGTAATTACACTGAAATGACTACGACATTTCTTTCTTTTTTGTGACTAAGTGCTCAATGCCACCAAGAACATCGATCAAAATTCAAACCATTCGTCAATGCAGTGAGAGCCTAAATCGAAAGGTTGTAAATTTTTTCATCTTGAAGTATGGTTCAATACGAGGATGAAGGGATTTAAAAGAGAAGGAAAAAGGGGAAAGATTTTTATTCTCTTGCTAGAGGGGATAAAATGGAAGTTCAGACCTAGAAGTCTTGTTAAAATTTATGCCACGAAACTAACAATCGTCTGAGCAATACATCTGACTTTATGGAGTTGTATGCAACTTTGTAAATTTCATGGTGTCAAGTGCTTATGTCACGCATCACGAGTTAAAAAGCGCAATTTGCCATGTTGAAAATTCAAAAGGGGACAAACACAACAAAAACCCGACTCCACACTGACCTTTTTCAAGCCAGCCAATGAGGCTTTGCCACGTACGAAACCCAAACAATTACTAGACTAGAAAATAATTCAGAAACAAATTTTTTACATATTTTTTAGTCTTATCTGTTAATTATTTATTATTTATTTAAAATTTATAATATTAAACATAATTTATTTAATAATATAAAAAATTATGTAAAATTATTTCTATATTATTGTTCGAGTTCACTTTAATGAGGTGTTGATCAAAGACCTATTTTCAAAAGTATCTTGCGGTTCTTCTTTTTTAGTTTTTTTTTGGTAAGTATCTTTCGGCAAAAAGCCTATTTTTAGCACTTCACATTGTTAAATTTAAAAGTTTTAGTTCTTTACCTTATATTATGACATTTCTAGCCTTTCACCTTACTAGATTTATAGGTTTTAACCCCTCACCTATTAAAATTGAAGAAAATAATTCTCATTTTATACTGAGTATTAACTCTGTTAGCTAAAAGTAGATTTTTATCAACTAACAGTCAACTAATAACCAATTAACAGAATTAACAAAATATTATAAAGTTAATTCTGTTAACTCTGTTAGTTGAAAATAAGTTTTTGACAGCTAACAGTCAACTAATAGAGTTAACAATCAATTAACAGAATTAACAAAATGTTACAAAATCAGGACTATTTTCTTTAATTTTAATAGGTGAGGAGTTAAAAGTATCATAGTATAAGGTAAGAT